CCTAACCACATTCCAGGCCTTCCGAACAGCCGTCAACACTTGGGTATCCCGTCAGGCCGTGGGTTAGGGTTTATTCTTACCCCGCCCGAATGTTGAGTGAATGTTGTGTTTTTATGGTTAATTTCTTTATTCACATTTTTCTTTTTTTTTTTCTTTTAAGTCTTGTCTTGCACTCCCTTCCCCCCATTGTTGTAAGCCGCCCTGAGTCCCCTCAGGGAAAAGGGCGGCATATAAATGCTCATTAAAATCTAAAAAAAATCTAAATCTAGGATAACTGTCAATCCTCTTATTAGTTTTACGTTGTCTGGATATGCATGTCTTCTTTCTTTTGTTTCCTATTTTGGAGATGTAAACCACTCACACGGTCTTTGGAAGTCAGGCAGCCTCTCTATCCAATAAAATAAAATATTTTTTTGCAAAAAAAGACTTGACATAGTTGATTACAAATTGAATGAGTCAGCAATCTGATGTGGCTCCAAAAACAGCTACTGCAGCTTTAGGCTGTATCAGCTGAAGTATCATTTCCAAATAAAGGATATAATAATTCCATTTCATTTTGCTTTGGTCAGACCTTACCACAAAACTGTTCTGGACACTACACCTAAAGATGAATTAGAAATTAGAACAGTTTCAGGGAAGGGCAGCAAAAATGAATAGGGGACTAGGAACTAAAGCCTACGTGACATTCAAATTTAGTAATATAGGAAAAATTCTGAAGAGAGTAGTTCTGACAAAACTACTAGTAAAACCAATTAACCAGAGAGTTGGTGGGCCTCCACACTGTATATGTTTAAGTGAAATGAAGTAATTTAGCCAACAATCAGGAGTGTTTAATTTTGGGTTTCTACATTGAGCAGGGTATTGGCCTCATCATTCTGAGTCAATCAGTTAATAATCTTAGTATTGGCCATACTGGCTAGGAAAGTCTAACAGTCTGTTTTCTCTAAATATGTAGAAAGAACCCCATTGAGAAAATGTAGCAGAAGTTCCCCTTAACTGAAGAAGCTGCTTAGATGAAAAGCAAAACATTTTCAAAGGAAAAAACCAAGAAGTCCCATTGCCTTTTGGAAAAAGTATCTGTGGGACTACCATGACCTGGATGATTAAGAATCTCCATAGACATTGCAGCAGAAGATAGTTTCCAATGTTCTGATGTTGTAACTATTATAACTATAACAACAGGAGTCATCTTCCAAGATTAGTGAATTTCATGTTGGAAAACATGACACCCTCTGGGGCAGCTGGTTGCTGATTGAAACTAGAAAGTTTTTTTTCTCCTTGTTCTTCTCAGCTGTTCTATATACCTTTATCTGCTTCTCAACACATGTGGTACAGAAGCACATTCTGGTAGT